TCCTTATATGGAATTTATGGAGAAACACAATTAAGTCTTCCACTTCATACGAGAGATTGTTTTAAAATCAAGGTCAAAGTTTAGTGAGGACTACCTATCTTAATTATGTGCAGAGCACAGATGTATTAAACTCAGTACACTGAGTAGTATTCAATTCCTCAGCTATAGAAACTTTTAACTTGAGCCACATCTTCACAAAATACACAAACTAAGATGAAGTTGGCCTCTACAGAAAAGTATTTGGGACTGCTGATAAGTAACAACCTGAGCATGAGCCAACAGTGTGCCTTTGCAGCAATGAAGACTAACTGCCCACTGGGCAGTGTTAGGAAGACTGTAGCCAGCAGGTCAAAGGAAACGATTACTCTTTGAAATTTGTGAAGCCTCACTGCATGCCTTAGCAGTCCCAGTACAAGAGGGAGGTGGCCCAAAAGGAATGATTCCCAGGGAGAGCCACGGGGGTCAAGGGCTGGAGCATGCAATGTACAGGGAACTATTGAGGGCTTGAGGCTGTTCAGGTGAAAAGCTAGCTCAGGGGTGGGTTATAGCAACGACAGATTAAATCTTTATATAGGCAGTTTTGCATTGTACAAGAAGAAACAGCAGCTACAAGTGAAAGTCTCATTACATTTAAGAAGGCATTTTTTCTGCTATGACAGCAATCAAACACCAGAACAGGCTGAACAGAGCCTGTAAAACGGCCATCCTTGCAGTTGCTCCAAGTTCTACTGAAGAAGGCTCTGAACAACTTGATGCAATTCTGATGACTGCCCTGACTCAAACAGATAGTTAGACTAGATTATCACCAGTTATTCCGCCCATTTTAAGTTATTCATATAATTTATAAACCTGTGAACTTGGTCATTAGGAGGGTTTCTTCTTCCATTTCTATTTCTAAAAATGCTTTTATGACAACCAGTGCTATTACAGCATTAAAAATTAAACCTTATTCTCCTCACCTGTTCATTTAATTTATTTTTAAAGCTGGAACTTTTCACACAACCATTATCTTCCAGCAACGCTCTACAGTAAGAAAAGAATCTTTGAAGCTTCCATTGCATATAGTTACAGAGGTCCAAGAAACTAGATCTGCAGACTAATTGCAAAGCCCACTGCAATATTTTCAGCTGCTGGATGTACCCCCATTCTGATGCAAAAAACTTTTTTCAAAAGACACTTCTTCCTAAGTTCACCCTTGCATCCTGAAGTGCATGTCACACAACAGCAAATGGAGAGAAGTGGAACTATCAACAGATATATGATTAAGGAGACATCTATTCTCTGTCTAGACTATTACTATCATTTATTACTAAAAATCCACTGAAACAAAACTCAGAATAATGTCCAGCTTATTGCAAAAAATCACAGCTGAATTACATTCAAGACAACTATTAAAGGAAAAAAAAAGTGTAACAATATTGTGAGAAAGAACAAATTTGAAACAGGACAGAAATAATACAAATTTGTTCCCCTTCTGGGATATTTTTTCTTGTTATCTGCAGGATATGAACAAGAAAATGCAGGATTAGAACAGAAGCTTGACTGAGATGCAACAATGCTTCACTTAACAATTAAACAACCATGCATCTTCAGATTTCACAAAGGCTAAAAGGAAGCCTAGGTTTCTTTGGAACAATTTCAGATTGCTTCCAGGCACATTACAATTTCATTTATCTTTTTTCAAAGGGTCACAGCTCAGGAAACAGAGTGTTTCCATTTCTTCTGTCCCAGTCAAAGTCACAGTATGTGCAGTGTTCTCTCAAACAGCAAATAACCAAAAAGCAGGGAGAAGTTATTCTTAAGGACACGAAAATCATTTGAAAGGATGCAGCTGCCAAGACATCACAATGGTCATAACATTTTTTTTTTTATTACTCAATGTATCCTGTAACCAATTGTACAAATTGAACACCACTCAACAGTTACATCCCAATCGCAGACCTAATGAGTGTAATAGTAGTGACCACTTACCTGTCAGTAACCTTCAGCTTTCTTTAACTGTTCAGTCCTACTAGGAAGACAACTTAATATTTACTGTTTCAACTGAAAATGAAATAATACTATTGGTAGAGCAACTAGCTGCATGTGTTTTGCTTCGAGTTTTATTAACAAAAAAAAAGTGTTTTAATAACAGCAGAACAAACGAGGCAAAAACAAAGCAAAAATAAAGCAAGAAGGTGTTTCTGGTAACTTCATGCCTTATCAGAGATTTAAGATTAGGGACTAGCTAGAAGATAAACATCACTGTTAGGGTACTGAGCATGCAGAGTTAAACAAATTTATTGAACTGTAATAAACAACGTATTAGGCTGAATTCCATCTCTTATCCCTTGACGAGCTCTCTTCAGATACTAACCTTTTGAAATTCCAGCCTTACAGAAAAGCTGGTCTTTTTCCATGTGTCTGTATAAATACTCATAAGTTTTCACTCAACCTGCACTAAAACAAGTGTGTAGTTATTCTGATTTCAGAGGCCAGCGCATGAGAAGAAAGAACAGAAGGCATATTCTGTTAGCTTATGGGAACACTCAGTAATTAAAACAGTTATTTGAAAGGTTTCAATAATACCTCTAATGAAGAGAGTCTGTTCATATTTTAATTACTTACTGATGCGAATCAGAGCAACAAAAGAAGCTCTTTAATAGAACTAACACAACTCTGAGAGAGCAAGCACTACCCAGATGCACAGTCCTCAACAATTACTACTCTTTAGCTTCACTTCATTCCTCCAGCAGCACCTCAGGTAGCCTCAGATCGGGCTTTCAACACTTGTATGGAAGCTCCTATCAGTTTCCTACTTGGTCAGCTTAGACAAGTGCAACAATCAATTGTTAAATGCACAGATGTATAGACAATACAAAGCTTGCTAAATAGACTTGAGGATCAAAAGTTGAGTTTACATGAGTGCTCCTATTAAATAAAACAAATGTTGACAAAACATTCCATTTCAGTATCCATCATCATTGACATTCACAAGTGGGACCGCTAGAAAAAAGTCTTAAGATTTAACTACACAACCAGAGATGAAGAAATCATCATGCCAAGAAACTGGCTGCATTTTTAACACCTTAATCTTAAATCCAAACAACAATAAAAGCTTTTAGTTTGTATATTTTTTATTTAAGCCATAATCCAAAATACAAACATTTGAGTATATACAAAAATAAGACATTTTCTAGACCTTAAAAAGGCAGAAACTTCTAAAGTGTGCAACTTCTGTGCAAAATCCTACCTATTATATACTTTCATATTTAAAGAGCTCTATGCAAAATCTCCACCCCACAACACCTAGCCACACACAAGACTGTAGGCAACATCTCAGAAAACTTATTCTAAACATCCCTGAATGGATTACAAAAAAGTCCTCACAGATAATAACCATAGTAATGTATTTTATGACTATTTTAGGGAAAAGTACATGCTAACAGGCAGCTTGCAAGACTTTCTATAGGTTCCCCCCACCCAGACCCCCCCATGTAACTTGAGGAACACAGGCAGACTACATCTTCCTTAAGGATACTCTCACATTCTTAGTATTCTTTTCAAATACAATTAAAAATTTTGTTGACAACATTATTCTCCCCCTCACCCCACCGTTCCAAACTCTTCATAACAAAATGCTTGCAAACAAGAAATAAAGTGTAAGTTCAGAACCCCAGTCTGTCAACATAATAGGAAGTTATCAGCTACTGAGCATCACTTTGAGCTAACAAATTTAGTGTAAGATTGCTATAATACAAGTTTTGAACCACCTGTAATGCATATTCAAAACATTTTCGTATGAAGTTTTGCTCAGTGATTTGTCTAATTATCAGAAAACAACTGACACTGGAAAAGTTTGTGGATGCAAAAGACCTTATTTGAGTCTCAAATATAGCAGGTTTCAAGTTGAGAATTAGTTCAGAATTCAAATGAGCACACTCATTAGTCCATAAGAGAAAGTTTTCAGTGGTTCAAAACAGCTCCCAAACATCATCTTTACTAACAATTTACTCCATCACTCCTTTAGCTATCAATTTAAACTACATCATATATGAAGGTTGCACCAAAATAATGCCTCCTATTTTATTATGTTGACCCATGACAGCAGAGGCAGATGGTGGTACAGCAGCAGAGGGGCAGACTGACAAAATGGCATCTGATGTGGAAGTTTGTATGGCATAGAGGTCTATCACTGAATTCCTCCATGCAGAAAAAAATTGCTCCCACTAACATCCATTGATGCTTACTGAATATTTAATGGAGACCAAACAGCAGATGTGAGCACAGTGAGGTTGTAGGTGGTTTGTTTCTGCAGTTGCCACAACAACATGAAAGGCAAGCCACATTCCAGACAGACGTGCACAGCCGTCACACCCCATTAACTCATCCATTAGCTCATCCATGCTAATTAGCTAATGGTGATGACTGTTGACAAGTGTTTTGTATCTGAGAATTTGCTTTATCAAATAGAGTTGTTCTGCTCTTTTTATCTGTCTTAATTCCCATGGAAATTAATGGGAAACATTACTTTTGGAGCAACTTATGCAAAAGCAAGCTGCTTATTAAGAAAAGAATGAACATCCAGTTCCAGAAAATGAACATCTAAGTGATCAGCTTCTAGCTGCTTCCTGTAACAAACTAGACATACTTACCTAACACTATTGCAATTAGTGATGTCATTAGCTTCACTATAATGGAGATGAATACAAGTTTCATAAAAGCATTCTGCTTGCAGCACATTTAACTATACCTATCAGCTTTCAATTCTATTGCTTCTTCAATGGTGACTCTTTCCTGTCTTAACAATTTCAAATGCCTTCGAGAAAAAACACAAATATTAAGAAGCAGCGTTCAATCTGTTACAACAATTAGTTCAGAAAGAGACATACTTAATGTTGTCTTAAAGTAATCTGACTGAAAATCATTGTTCTGTACTAATGTGCAAGTTTCTCTGAGTAATTCCAGTCAGCAACGTGAAGTATTTTAAAACAGCAAGAATAGGAAGTCCCATGAGCTCATTTTGGCATTAATAAAAATATACACTTTGTTACTTGCAGAATATTTATTTTACTCTGAAAGTTTTTTTTTTTTTTTTTTTTTCCCTCCTTTTTAAGAAGATCCTGAGCAAGTTTTTTCAACCATTACCCACAATGATAAAAATTTATCTGAAGTAATGTTAGCACTGGAGGCATCGGGACGTTCAGCAGTTATTTCATAGTACTGGCTGAGATTAGAAAATGGTGCTGGAAACTTGAAGACTACTAAAGCTCTACTTATCTTGCTAAGACATGAGAATGCCTCATGGCAGTAGTTTTACCGCAAAGAGCATAAAATGTATTAACTGCCAAGCAAGAAGAAACTCCACAACACTTCACTGAGGAAGAAGGCTAAACAGTAATTTGTAGTTAAGATACACTCAAACGTAAGACACTTTCAGATAGTTTTATCTCCTAATCTTCGTCTAGCAAATAAATTTCATATAGACCTACTTGATTCACGGCCAAGATCCAAATAAAAAGGAGAAAACCTTCTGATGATGTAAAGAAATCGCATCTATTTTTTACAAGGTGAGAAGACACCTAACAATTTATAAAACAGTAATTTAGTACTTGAGAGGTAGTTTAGTTGCTCATTTGACTCAGAGAGGTAGAGGCAGTGGAAAAACCAGTTGCTAAGGCTAGTCAAAATGATAATTATCTCAAGTTTTCTAAGATGCAAAGGAATTGATTCACAGCCTGAGATTACTCATGTCACCATGGATCCGATTCCCTTGACAGTATTTACCTTACTTATGTAAAAGTTAGTAATTTCAAAATATCCATTTAAAGGGAAAACATTCCCTATGGAATCATACATAACAAGGGCAGCACATTTTGTTGTCTGTCAACTAACTGAACTGTAAATTATACTTCTGAAGCCTATAAAGGATAAATAATAAAGCCAGACAGCTTTCTCCTCTTTCGACAGGTTGACATTGTGCTGTAACTACTAAAATACATACAAAATGCTAGAAGAAAGTTTAAGTCACAAATTCCATAAGGTTTACTTATACAAAACTGCCATGCAATTTCTTCCCACAGGAAAAAAAAAAATTGTTTTAGAAATGGAAGCCAACAAGACTTATTGGTCCTATGGCCAGTAAGTATGCAAAACGTCACACCTTGAAGGATACATAATCATACATAGTGCTCCCTTGGATTGATGTAGACTCTCCCAGATCCGGAGTTTTGAGGGTGCCCGCTGTTCCAATTTTTGTAGTATGTCTGCTGATAAACAGGGTACATATGCTGAAGACACTGTTGTTCCTGTAGCTCTTCAGCCTCGCAGATAAGTTGCCTTTCATTCACAGCTTTCTAAGCACACACAAGAAATAATCAGTTTTATAGTTCATGTATAGAGCTCACAGTACCTAATCTTGTTAGTTTTAATGAAAATGAAAACAGTATGATCTCCAAAATAATCCCAAAAATTCAGAAGCATGAACTTAAGAACTCCAACCACTAAGACTGTTAGATGACAAAAAATGTTAGTAACTATTTAGTTGATGTCAAAATATGTTTCAAAGGACATAAATTCTAACTCTAGTTCAAAACACAGAATTATGAAAGCATCTGTCAAACATTCCTGTATTTTGCAATGTTTTTTCCCCTCAAACAAGAACTTGGAAGTTCTAGCGTTCATACATTTGAATTAGTCAGCAAAACTAGGACATACTGGATATTGAAGTGATACTGACCCATTCCACTGAGGGACAGCAGATCCACGTACCCAATAGTTACTGACTAGGATAGCCAAATATTTTGTTTTTCCTAGCAGGAAATATCTTCCTACCCTTATTTTAAGAAACATGCAGAAATCAAGGCTTTGATTAAGAATTCAAGCTATCTGAATATTTACCATGTGCTGCAAGTTTCCAGTATCTTTCTCTCCATACTGACTTTGCAAAGCAAGATGTTCTTTCTGGAAAAAAACAAGTTATAGTGGAAGCAAGTCAAAACTCAACACTGTAGAACAGATTCATTTTACACAAAGAACACTGTTCATCACAAAATGCATTCTGCGTTGCAAAGTGCCTTAACTGACCACCTTTTAAAATGCTTCTTACCAACTCGTCTCTGTTGGGAAGCAAAATGCTACTGTCAGTTTAGAAATATTATTTTTATGTATTTTATTTTTACTTTCAACACAAGCACGTTGAAGAAAAATTAAAAAGTTTTAATTTATGACAATCTTAGACAAAATAGGCTAATGTGAAATTCAAAGCATGGTAAAGTTTCCACAGCTATATGGATAAATGCTGAGTTTGATAACGCACAGAAGTAGTTAACAGAAAAGCAACTTAACTGTATACTACTGAAAGTTGAAGGGGACAACATATTTGCTCCTCAAGTTGATGAAATTAAGTAGAGCCTTCTCTTCACAAAAACCCACAGTTTTCTAATGGCAGTATCCCAAACAAATTAAATTGTTTTTTGCCTTGTTGATTAAAGCAGCATAGATGTATTTGTAGCTCATTTACTTAAGTCTGTTTTGCTGACTAGTTTTCCTATTGGCAGTGCATGCTGCCTAGATCTTTTCTTATGATCTTGTTCCACAAAGCCAAAACTTGACCCTTAAAGTCTGTCTTCAAATTATATGCTTAGGATTACCCCCACCCAGCTGCAGGACCTTGTACTTGGCCTTGCTGAACTTCATGAGGTTGGCATGGGCCCACAATTCAAGTCTGTCCAGGTCCCTCTGGATGGCATCCCTACTCTCTAACCATGTGCAGAAGTAAGAACTTCTCTAACTCAAGAGCTCTCTGCTTAATTAAACTAACCAGTCCTTTGGAACACTGGTTATGTAACAGAAGAATATTCACAACTTTATCCACCTGACTGGGTCTGATTTGATCACTTGTCCTACGTTCAAAAGTAGCCAAAATCAATTCTGCAGTTCTGCCCTTCATTGGTTTAAGAACAGCATCGTGACTAACACAGTTTTGTGTTTTTTTTTGTTTTTTTTTTTTTTTTTTTTTACAGACAGCTTAACACTGAAGTTCCCAAGCTCATCAGCATCACAAAGACATTACAGCAATAAAGCAGTCTTAAAACTTACATCAATCTACTCATCAAAGACTTGGACAATTACTATCCTATCAAACAGTTTTCTCCAAGACAAGCAGTGAAAATAGAGCTTCTCTGATAGCAAACAGTAATTGCTCTCTGCCCTACTTGTATCCCATGCATTTCATAACACAACTGCTGCTGCACAGAGGCTTTGTAATTGTTTTGTTTGGTACTTTCAGATGCAACATACACAGCAAACAAACGTTATCAACAGAGTCAGCAAGCCTCGTGATTTAAAGGTACCTGCTAGCAGACAGAACAAAAGCATCAATAATTACACAAGCACAAAAAAATGCTAAAACACAGATTTTACACCTGACCATTAAAATATTCAATAAGGGATAAATGACATCTTAAAGATTGAAGATGTACCAATGATAGAAAATACTATTTTAGCAAGTTCCTCTGTGTTGTCATATTGCTTTTGAAACAGATGGTGACTATTACTACTGCTGATACTATAAGTAGGACATAATTGTGGTTTATTTAGTGTATGAGTTACATATTAATGATAACTAAAACCATAATGAAGTACGTAAATACTTCATAACAAGCTATGCTTAAAGTCACCTACACATCTGAAGAAAAAACTAAATGTAGCTCATTATCAGTAGTTAACAGTGTATGGTTAACATGCACATATAGAGCAAGTAAAAGTTACTGGTATCATCGATTATTAGAAAACCAGCACTACAGGCTGATATAGTGATATAGCATGCTATTGAAAACAAGCTAGAAAATGATAGAACTGAACTTCCAGAGCTCCTCCACACATTTGGTTAAAGTACAATCACCTATATTTTGCCTGAATAGCTAGTGAAGGTGCTCTCTTCAAAACCTGCTTGGACTACAAGCAATTTTCCTACAGTGGGCTATGTTATTTTTCTATTTGCAAGCTTTCTTAATATTTAAGCACATTTCTGCAAATAAATATTTTGTCTTAATCAACCGGCAGAGAACATGCTATGTAATGCTTTGTCACTTCATAAGAGAAAAAACATCTGCCCTTCTGTATTCTCTCTCAGAACAGTCAACTATTTTCTTCAGTCATCATTCATTTTGCTTCAAGCACTGATCATGCTAAACAATGCTCAAGTGCCTTGCATAACTTCTGATGTGCTCAGTGTTTAAAGGGGAAATTTGCTTGCATCTCAGAAGTGAGACCACTGTTAGATTCAGCAGATATGAATGAATTTATCTGAACAACTCAGCACAGATGCAGGAAGAAACAAGAGGCATGTGCGTGGTCTTGATGTCTCGCCCACACTAAGTCTTACAACTTCTACCATTAAACTCATAATCCAGTAGCAGCACTTCTCACAGAAATTGTTCCACCCCAAAATTTAAACCTTACTCTGCAAAGCTCTAGATGAACATACATTCTACTCTTGCAGTCACTTTCTGTTTAAAGAATCAACCTTCTATCAATCTCTAGGGTTGTTTTGGAAAAGAATCATTATGTCTTCCAGCAGTCTTCTTTACACTGCATAGTAAGACAAGTAAAGGGAGATTTCTTCATAGTAACAACTAATTTGACACTGAAAGCTATGTAAACTTGTCAAATTTATTCAGAAAAGAGACAACTCTGCACCTTACGACTACTTGCTTTAGTTCAAGTCTGTCACTAGTCCATTTCATAGCTTTACCATTGTTTGGCCATCAGCAACCTCAAGGGGACCAAGCAGGCAAACAGCTGAAAAACATTATTGGAACATGGAATAGGCTATGAGGCCAAAGGCAACCAGAATGTAGCTTGAGGTTATGCAGTCAATGGCCTGAGAAAGCCCTTGAAAAGTGAAACTTTGTGGACAACCAGAGCACAATCTTAGTAATTATAGGATTAAATGACAAAAAGAAAGAAACAGCTGACAAAGATATGGTGCCTGTAATTATCTCCACAGGACGATGGCAACTGCATTGCATTGGGAGCAAAAGAACCATTAAAAAAATCAAAGCTAACAAATAACCATCAAACTATATAGAGCTAATATCTATAAAGGTGTTCACTGCAAAACAAAAAACAACGAGGCTATAACTGCGTACTGTTCATAAAAAACTACTTAGTTGGATACAGCTTCCTCTTCATAACTTCAAGTAAAATAATTCGCTGTTCTTAGCACCTGCCTACGAGAGCTGCTCTGAAGGTGATATCTACATTATTATGTTGCCCCAATACAGAGGTGGGTGTCAACCACGTGGCAGCAGATACTGAACCTTTCCGCCAAGATTCCATTATACGTCATTGCCATGTGACAGATGGCAGCAGAGGGGCAGTCTGCCCAAATGGCATCTGACACGGAAGTGCATATGAAGCAAAGATGTGTCACTGAATTCCTCCATGTGGAAAAAACAGCACTCCTTCACATTCACTGACAGTTGCTGAACACTGATGAGACCAAACAGTGGATATGAGCACAGTGAGGTCAAGGGTGGTGTTTCTGCAGTGGCAACAGCATGTCACCTCTGCTAGTACCTATTTTGACACGATAGGCACACAGGCTCTTGTTCATTGCTAGCAAAAATGCATAGCTAATGGTGCCACCTATGCTGAAAGAATACTATTTTGTAGTGAAGAATTTGCTCTATCAAGTAGTGTTACTGTGCCCTGTTGCAGTTTCCATGGCAATAAATAGGAGGCACTGTTCAGAGCAAGCTATGCATGCAAGTTGAAAAATATTCCCACGCGGTTACTAGTTACAGCACTCATCAGCTTAAACACAATGTTCATAGAAAGTTAGTTTTGGACTAAGAAAAAGAGTCTACGTCTAAAAATGCCCGATTTACCCCTAAACAAAGAAAAAAAGCACAAAAAAGGAAAGGAACACTTTATTCTAAGAGGAACATACAAGAAACTTCCAAACAAACTGATGAACTAAGACTTAGAATACCTTTTCAAGTGAAATGCCACTTCTCTTCTTGTGTATTTTTGTATACTTACCTTTAATTTGGGAGACAGAGTTCTATTATTTTAGTAACAAATGCTTACTTGCCCCTTTTCTGTGCTTCACCAAATACGTTGCACACGTTACAGAGAACACATTTGCCCAGATATTTAAGTCACATGGAACACCATTCTTCAAACATTTACAGATTTAAAATATAACAAGTCATACAGAGTATCCAGAAGTTACACAATTTTTTCCTTTTCCCTCTTAATCTTGTTTACAAAAATAAAACCTGTAATGCCCTTTAAGCAAGCAATTCCATTCTCCATTATTTCCACATTTAGCAGAAATCACTCCTTTAGTGATATATGATACTTCAGTGGTATCACCACTCCTTATTAAGTTCTTTTGAGCTACTTAACTTATAATCTAATCTGCAAATGTATGGTGAAGCAAGCTGATAAATATCTCATGCTTTTTTCCCCTATTCCTTCACTATTCTTTTCCACTGTCTTCACAGACCTATTTTTTCCCCAAACTTCTGTCAAGTTTCCTGCTTTGTATTTCCTATTAACTCTTCCCCTCCCACCACTGCAAAGTCATACTTTTTTTTAAACTTAAATTCTCAGACTGTAATCCATAGTTCAATGCAAACTATGATGTATCACTAACTAGGAAATGCAGTACTCTTTCATGTTAGTGCAAACAACATGAATTCACCACATAAAGAGTGGTTCTAGGAGGAGGAGAAGTCCATGTGCCCTAGAATTTCTACCAACAGTGGATTTAGACACGACTGAGGCTAATTCTAGGAAGCCAAAACAAAGTTCCACTGGGATCATTTATTCAGTTAAAATCGTTGACAGAGGAAATATTCTCCAAGGACATGAAAACAACACTCTTACTACAAGAGAATGGAATTCCACATGTTACTGCCAAGGAGCAAGTGACAGTTCAGAATCATATTCTGTCAAGGGAAACTAGTGCTGATCTACCCAACAGTGCTTACATACAGAAATACACTACACACCCGATGCTTTAAGCTCTTCTATGTACACTAGCTTCCATTTGCTTATCTTCATGTATTTCAGTATTTCATAAGAGCACTGAATTTTACTCTGATTGTACTCTCTCAAACAGTCCTTTAAAGAACTAAACCAGTGATCTCACTAACATCTTCATCTTGCACTACTCTACCCCTCATCCTTTCTGATTTAGATTATAAAGATGTCCTACCTAATCCCAACAACATTTAACAATTTTAATTTATGGGAATCCATCCCATACAGCATAAATTGCCTTCATACATTCGAAGTCCATTAATAGAAGACTCAGTGCTTCATCCTACTCCCTATCAGTTTAATATTTTTCTCCTATTTTAAGATCCTTCATCAGTATAGATAACTACCTATTTACATTTCCCATTTTCTTCTATTCTATCTTGATTGCCTAAACAGTTCTTTCTGCCTAAAGCAATGCTTGCTTTTCCCTCCAGGAAGATCCATCTGTATTGAGACCATCAGGAAAAAAACTAGAAGAACACAAAAGAGTCAATCTCTAAATGAATAAAGACTATGCTATTAAATTGACACTACAGAGAATTATTTATTATTTTTTAAATTTGATCCAAAAATACTGTTGCCCATTCAAGGTCATTACACAATTTTATGCTTTTAACTGTGTTATACAAGCTCACAGTCTGTTTTTAGGTGTCCTAATTCTGTTCCTTTCCAGCTCCTTGGGCCCCTCATTGAGAATAGCCTTGGCTCTGAACCACATTGCTTAGCAGTTATAAACACCAATGTGTTATCAACATTGTTTTTTCTCCTAGAACCAAAACACAGCATCATGCCAGGCTGTATGAAGAAAACAGCTTTGTGCCAGCTGAAATTAAGACACTAAGCTATCCAATCAAAAGTTAAAGTTCTTTAATGGCAATAGAAGTATTCCTTTTCAAAATAGGGGAAGAGAGGTATTCCATACCATGACATCACACAGAAGGAGCTTTGAAGGGTCTTTGAAATTCACCTCTCTCTCAAGATGCTTAGGAGGCAATGGCTTAACATCACCCTGTGGGAGGTCAGCAACTGCTTTTGCATCACTTGCTATATCTTTATTTTTATTTGTCCTATAATTATCCTTTCCTTTATCTTAGTAAATAGTTTTTTCCTCAATCCACAAGTTCTACTTGGTTGTTTCCTCTCCGCATCCCATTGTGGAGTGGGGGTAGAAGTCAGTGAAGAACTGTGTGGTGCTGAGCCACCTGTCAGGCTAAACCACAATACTTAGCTAAGTATATTAGGTATTCTTAGATGTTTCAAGTCTCTAGCCAGACTCCTCAGGTAGAGGAGTACCTACTGAACTGTATTTCTTTATTTCTGTTGCTACAAAAAGCCCAAATAATTTCTTGGTACATCAAGATCTGAATATTCATGCCCTGCATTATAAAATATACTTCATTTGTGATTTTGTATCTTTCTTTTGGAAAGGTCTGTCAAGCCAGACATAACTACTGTTTTCACAAAGAAAAAAGAGTTCCCGCCTCAGGTGTGTTTTTTAAGTTTACTTGAATATATTGCTAGGAACAAAAAAAGTCATTTTTTTCTTTGTTCCATTTAATATCCCTTCGATTTGGACTCCTCTCTCCCCCACTCTTTTAGGGCCAACCATAATTCCTCAAATTATTAAAGGAAACATAGGAGTATGTACACATTGGTATCCACAAACGTCAGCATAGAAAAAATAACTTCCAATAATACTGCTCCAATATAGATAAAATGTAATTCAAAGATCTTCTATTGATACACAAAGAAGATAACTTCAGCTTATTCAGTTATATCTGAGACACTTCATGTGACCCAAAACACTACTGCGCTTGACTTGAACAATAACCATAGAAATAGTTTACAAAGCTGCACATTATATCAATTAGCTTAAATTGATGCTCAGCTGGTAGAGTATGCTGAAGACACCATTTCAATTCACTATCCTTCTATATTTGCACTTTTGTGTGGTCTATGATTTCTGCTCAGATTTCATGTGCTCTATTGCCGTCATCAATACAGCAACACTTAATCCACCATTCCTTTCAGCATTACTGGAAGCTTTCACCTGAATATATTTTATGTAGAGGCTCACCAGCACACTTCTTATGTCTGTCCAGATATTGCAGCACTTGGAACCAACGGCATGGCTAGCACAGACACTTGGTCAAACAAGACAAGGCACAGTAACAGGCTAGCTTGTTTTTTTTTCCCCCTCTTGACATCTATTCAACTATTGACTTCCTAAACAAAACAATACAACCAATCACATCTTGACTACAGGTAGTCTTTTGACATGTCTGTTAAACTAAGCAGAAGCACTTGCCTCAAAAGCATAACAGACAGAACATGATTATGAGTAGTATCATTAACAGCTAGGAAGACAGCCTCCAGCTTCAGTTTTTTTTTCCAGCTTTACAGAGTTTCATAAAAGAGAAACAAGTATGCTAACAATGTTATGCCAAAATCTCTTGCTTTTAAAGTCAACATCTGGTTTCAAAGAAAACTAGATCTCTCCTCACTACCCCAAAACAACTTAAAAGCATACCTAGTTTGAGGAAAATGAGTTTTTTTTTTTTTTTTTAATATTAAAATGTATTTGAATAAAACATTTTGTTCTTTGAACAAAAATTAGTCAACTGCAGTTTTTCCTAGTTCTGAAATACTAACAGAATCCACAGCAAGCACCACCATAGAGAATGCAGATAGCAGACATTTCATAAAAAGAGTATAAACTGAACTCTGTGAGTATCCCTGTAGAGGATAAAGAACTGCATTTCTTTGTTATCACTTCACTGTTTGGCAGCACTATAGATGGGCTGGTAACTCAAAATAGTCCATACCTTTGATTAAGTACACAAGATAATTTTCCACCGTAATTCAAGTATAGGACTGTATTAACACAAGTGTGATCCATCAGTATTGCATTCAGTAAGTTAATGTCAGAAGAGTTACATCATTGTAAGCACAAGGAGGAACTCAACATGACAAGAAAAAAGCATTGTTTTCGTTACCTTATGTTTTACACCATCATTAAGACCAAACAATAAAAACTCACTATATTTCTTGCCAATTAAACTTTCTGGACTATCATATCAATATAATCGTACTAGCAATGGTAAATTTCAGATTCCCACTTCACTCAGCAACAACACTAGCAATTGTTACTCTGCTTTTTATCTATAATGCACAATATTCTTTTTATGCATTACTTACAATAGAGGAAAGCTTTTATTGGCAATTCATATTTGGAAGCTTTAGTATCTAGAAATCACTTGTAGATCTTCAATAGAATTTCCAGTGCTATTAAGAACATCAGTAACTAAGACTTCCATGTCAGACTACAGCCACCAAACAGCCAGGTGTTTTAAAAAACACAGACCACTGTCATTTGTATAGCACTACTAACAATTCAAATACTTGTCATGGAGTTAATGTAAAATCTTTTGTCACTGATTTATATATTCAAGTAAAAAAGGAAGCAGATAGATAATTGCAGACACTTTAGTGATTTTGTGATTCTCACTGAGAATCAAAAAAGCATACTCTGAGTTAATGACAGCAAAGCCACAACACCAAAATATTCCAACCACTCAAACCATAGTAACTTATAAAAAAAGCAATTGTTACCAGCAAAAAAAAAAGATCATGGTGCTCAAGTCTTTTGTTAAGTCCAATATATGTTTCTGCTCCTCATACAACAGGTGCTTTTTTTAAATCAAGCTACATATATTACCTCAATCACCACAGAATCTCAAGCATAACTTCTACTTCAATAGTAACGAAGTCTATCAAACAGTATTAGAGATACAAAAAGGATCTATCCACCAGCTCCCAAATCTTTGAAGACTACATTAACACCGAAAACATAAACATTAAGATATCACATCTGTAGAGAAACCTTTTAGTTATGAACCACCAGTCTCTGTACATTATCAGCAAGGAAAATTCAAAGTAAAGTAACCCAAAGTTAACACTTTCTATCTCTACGTATAATCCCTTACTCACCTGAATCATAGTTTCTTTCTGTGGTAGAGAGAATGCTCTCTCCTCATGTGAAGATGGTTTGTGAGTGGGCGGAAGATCAATCCTGTATTAAAAAAGATCAAGGTATGAGAGGATGACAAGCCATATTTGTAAATCATGCTGAATGGTCAGAAAAAGCTTGTAACTAAAGTCTTGCGCATAATCGGTTATGAGCTTTCTGAGCAAAAGCAAAAGGCTAATAACTTAAATGCCTAAGACTTCATGTATATATTCTTTAACTATAAAATCTAATAGAAACAGACGCCAAACAGTTATTTCTAGTCACTTTAGAAGTTTCTCCTCTATAGGGTAACACCTGACTCTTCCAAGATCGAGAGATTCAAGCATATTATTCTAGTCCTCAATAAGCATTAAAAGATGAGGGACATTCCTTTCCCATATAATTTAAGTGTTAACTGTGTACAGTATATGTGGAAAAAAATCCAAGAACTTATTTACAGATATTCACCACTGTCACTTTTTAACGCATGCTCCAAATCAGGTCTACATGGTAGCTACGTGGACTAAATCCCTCCAGAATTTGTTAGCTTAGTTTTGCATGTCCATATCACCTATCTGGACACCTCCCTGTGCTACCTACTGCAGGGAATCTGCTTTAGGAGAGAGATTGGACTAGATGATCTCCAGAAGTCCGTTCCAACCCCCACAATTCTGTGATGTCTGGTGCTTAACACAAGAAACCATGCGCTGTATCAGAAGCTTAACAAGTAATGTGCCAGGAAGCACATTAAGTCAGTTGTTCCTGAGCATACGTACCTATAGGTGCCTGCTTCATTTCACATGCACAGTAAGATAAATGTTAGCGGACCTTTACTTCTACAGAGCAAAAATTTACTTTCATATTTGGGCTATATTATATACATATATAATATATATATTATATAAACCCATATTTGGGTTACAATTAAGCCAGTAATTCTTATGTCTGTGGCAAGTCAAAATGGATCTCCCTCTACCCTCTAGCTCAAACTCTAAGCAATTAGAAAAATATAAGAGAAAACAGAACTAAGATGAAGAATATGTAAATGAATATTTACTACCTTTGAAACAAATCCTTAGCTTCTTCATTAAAAAAAAGCAAATGGTTTTTATGTGATTACCCTGAATACAGCCCTAAAATTACGACCACTTACAGATTCTAAAGAAGCTCAGTCATTTGAATTACGATATGAACTAAGTATTTTCTACACATTGTGCTCAATTAAAAAAATTCAGTACATACTTACACTTTGTCAAGATAGGATGGCCTTTTCTTCCTTGGGGTCAGCAGCACTGTCACAAAGATGGTAATGATAAAAAGAGCAAGGACTGCTCCAATCACAGCCCCTGCTACAGCAACAGAAGATGTCTGCTTAAATGGCATATCTGCAATGTGATAGCATAGATTACACTTTTATGAAGTTCACATACTTTCAATGCTCAAACAAGCTATTTCAGTGTTGCTCTGAGGAAGGCCTCTTCTCTCCAGCACCAAACAGAAAGCCACTTCCCGTACTAGCTAGCACTCTTGTGATCCTTGCTCCAGCCGCCCATTTCAAAAATTGGTGAAATTAAGCAAACTCTTAAGACATGCATATCAATTTCACTGACTACTTTTAAAAAAATACTAGCTACGTGCTCCAATTTTAAATTCCATGGCAAGATGAAGATGAACACATACTATTTACATGAACGAGGTATGAATTAAAAAAACTGGAAGAACTACGATATTACCAGTGATCTCTTCAAATTAAGTCTACAGGAAGGAAAAAGTGAAATATACAATCAAGAAAATAAATACTATGAAGAACAATGCAAACTCATTTATGCTTGGCTCACACTAAAAGCAACTGCTAGGGCTATGTTTCTCTACTACCTAAAGCTAAGAGAAACAGCCATTTGTACTAGCATGTACAAATAAGGGGGGGCTATGTGAAGAACAGCAACATTTTTTTCTTTTAAAAAAAAAAAGTGTTTTTCATTTGACTATAGCAGTGCTACATCTTATGCTTAACGAACTGTCATACTGAATGAGCACACGTCAGCCGTTAAACGTCACTTGTTTTCCTACACCAGGAATTCACTAAGTTGTAGAAGATTTCTAAAAGTGTGAACCTGCTAGCAAGCTCTTGCTTCAACATTAGATTCAACATTCCCAACTTCCAGTAACTTATCCAAAAGTTGTGCAACAGGAATAATTCACACAGGCTTCATTAAAACCACTATTTGTAAATTACTAGTGGCATACAGCAACAACTGTTCAGATCTGTATTGATACAGAATCAGAAAGATAGCAATGAAGACGTTTCAAGTTAACACAGCTCTACAGCTACATTTCTAATGCAACGTATCCCATTTATTTCCCTTCAGAAATGTTCATATCCTTTCTTTGAACATTAAACAATCCTCCTCAATTTAGCTTCCTAGCTGAGGGAATTCTAAGAGCCTTTTCAGCTGCCTAAACATCCAAGAACAAAACAACTATATAAGCTGTTTTATTAATTACTCTTCAGCAGTTCAAATGTCATTTTACGCTGGACTAAAGCACCCCTTTACTCATCCCTGAGTTCAAAAGAAAAAAGCATATGAAAGACCTGGCAACAATAATCCCCTGGAACCACTTACATTTTTAAGCAACAGAAAAAAAACTGTATTAAAAAGAACTAAGATGGTGGTGTTGTGTGCTTTTTTTTTTTTTTTTTAATTTGGGAAATTATGTGTTTATCTGTTAATTTTAACAAACATGTTGCAGAAAAATCAGTGTAATGTATCGCTTTAGGTGACAACTGTTTTTACCATACATCTTTTGTAACACAAGCCTCATTTGCCAGTCACATACTAGCGTATACGCAAGAATCATATATATGAAAACTTTAATTCCCCTCTTCTCATAAAAAAATGGGCACATCAGACAACAGAAAGATCAATTGCTGCATTTTAAATGGCTTAAATTTAGATTACACTCAGTGCCATCTCATTTAAGGAAGTGTTGTCAGAAGTTAATACACAGGACTAGGTTCAGTAAAAGCTTAGACACAGAACTCTGTTTCTGCCGTGAGAAAAGTAGCCACTCATTCGCTTCCATCCAGGAAACACCGCAATATCCAAGTAAATGTCAAGTACACAAAAAATGAAGTGCAATTATTGCAGTGCTCACTTAATTTACTTTTCTGAACTGCTTTGACCAGATAACAGATTTTCAGTGTAATAAGATGAACAATAAGAAAACTCAGACTACTTTGAGACGATAACAAGCCAGAGAGCACTTAAGATGTATAGCATCACCTACATCGTTCTTTGATCACCAATAGGTGTAAGCAGATGGGAATGAAGTTACAACGCATAGTTAAAGAAGAACTACAGCAGCTGAGTAAAGAGGATGCTTTTTCTTGTTGTGGTTCTTTTCCAAATTCTATCCTATACAGCGCATCTACAGTGCTTGAAGTGCAATTGTATGGAAAGCAACTATCTTTTATTCCTAAGGTTCATAGTCTTCAAGTAATTTCTAAAGCAATTCATTTTGAAAGGTTAGGGTCTCCAAGAGGAGATGCTAAAAAGCTGTTTTAACAGTCTAATTAGAATAGCTCCTAATGCCTGTGGTTTTGTTTTTAAGTGTGTCTGTCAAACTTTTTAAACACTACCTATATTCGAGAATGTAATAAAAAGTTTATTCACACAACAGCCATTTAAACTTACAATCTTTTTTTCTTTAAACAGCAGACATAATATACAAAAACATGGCAACACTTGTATGCCCTCTACCTATTATCAGTTTCAACACCAAAACACTTCAACTTCTTAACCAATGGGAATTAAATATATATCCTTTTCTTTAAAAAGCAACAAAAAACTCCACAGAGAAAAGATAAACCATGTGGAGAAAATGTTTATGGTTGTACAGTTTTTAAGTAACACCATCTTTTAAAGATGACATATCAAGTACTGTTGTTTGAAGAGAGGTATGGTCTCTTTATTCCAGAAGTAATTTGCATCAGAACCCTTAGCTAGAAACAAACTCTGAGTTTGCTCTCTAGCTACTGATACACAATATAATTTTCTAATGTTCTTGAGCCTTTGGTTTATGTATCAGTATTCCATTAATCCAGATGTAAACTTGAGTTGTTTAGGGAAGGTTTTCCATTTGAATTTCAAATAAAACTGTTTTAATCTTTTTTTTTTTTTTTTTTGAAGACATGCAGTCATATGCAATCACAGTGTATTGTCTACAACACTCAAAACAGCTATTTTTGTAAAGCTTTAAATGCTTTAAACTACCAAAGATCATGAGGATAGCAAAGTAATTCCAGCAACAAACTCCACTCAGGAAGTAGCTGCAAGCATGTGACCCATTTCATTTCAAATTTAAGTGGTTTTTTTTTCCCCTGCTTTTTCATGCTTCAAATCCTAAGACTTCTCAGCTTCATTTTTTTCCATGCTAGACATTTTAAAATGGCATTTGCACACCATTCCTTCTTATTCTGAATCCATTTTTCTACAATTCAAGCACACTGTTAAAACGCTAAATTGTTTGCAGTGAAAACAAATCCACTGCAGTACAGAGACTGCACGTTTTTAATTGCTGTCTTACAAGATTCTGTAGTTGCATCATTGCATTGCATGTTTTCACTACATGAAGCAGCTGTGCAAGTGTTCACTTCCCTAATAATAATCTGAAGTTCTAGATACTCTCAACAAAGGAAACATTCTAACTTACACAGAAGCAGAGTAAAACCATTGTTTTAACTTCTAGTTGTATGAACTCCAGCAAACATTTTGACACCTCTTGCACACAATGTTTATTGGCATCCCAGAAAATATTCAAGTTGGTTTCCACCTCCAGTTTAGAAATCCATTGAACCTTTTTTACTAGCTGCATCCAGTTTAAATTTGAGACACCCATTTCAGAAAGGGTTCACTGTACTTGCAAAAGGAGACTGATGTTCAATAAAAGATTCTGACATCCTGACAAGTACAGGCTTAACAAAATACCATATTGTATGTATATATACACATAAGATTTATAAATCAATGACTATACAAAAATAATTTTCTTATTCAAACAAGCCTTTTACTAGTTTACAGTTACTTCTCAAAACCTTGTCCATAGATAAGTTACTTTCAGTGCAATGACTTCTATTAAGTACATCGTTACAAGAAGGCTCATTAAAATGCTAAGAGGTATTCATTTTTGTGCAGAAAGAAAATGAAAAATAAAGCTTTGATTCCACTGTAACTCATTGTAACTGGTAAATTATTTGTAATATAGAAGCATTAAGATTACCACAGATGGCAGCTAGATTTGAGTAATTCACTTACTACATCTGCAAAATAAATGCCCCACAAAATTTTATTCGATCACTACGTAAACTTTTTTTTTAAATTTTAAATCAGAGACCCAAGACAGCCACTTCATATTCATTAACAAGTTTGATGGATAACTTTAATTTAGCTTTTTCTTTAACCTCTGACATAAACTGTATTATAAGCATTCTGCTTTCAAACCCAAATCTAAGACAGTAGTACAACATAGGGGAAAAAAAAAAGCAGCTCAAATACATTTCTCCCAAATTCAATATTTGCAGTTGTCAAGTCACAATATAAAAACCTTCCAAAAAAAAAATCAGTTTCAAAAAGTTTATTCCTCCTCGTATGTAAGTATAAACAATCTGAAAGTGATCAGCCAATGAAAAGAAACGGTGAATACAAGTTTTGTTTTCAGTGGCTACTACACATACCACTCCCTCCGGGATATTACCGAGCCATCTATGTGAGAAACAAAGTCTTCTTCATTGTCATCGTAACAAACACCACCCATATACTTCATCCCCAGTGTTCCACTTTCATAGTAATCCATTGGTCTTTCATAACGTTCCTGGTACCTGTTAATATTGTCTATATTGTTCCACTCTGGTTTTTCAGGGTCTTCTAAATAATCTTTAGATATTAAGCTGTTCATTGGATGCTTTATTTCTTTTTTTATACTGTCAGGGTAAGAATCCACATCATCTGACTGAAGAACATCTATTTGAGACTCTTTTTGCATATCTGATGGTGGAATGTAGTTCTTAGCAAAGTAGTCACCACGGAACGTCCGTCTTCTCCTATAGCAGATAATTCCAACCAGAACACTGACCAGTATGAGGAAGAGGGCCCCACCCACAGCACTACCGATGACAGTACCCCAAGTGTCTTCCTGCATTGCTGGCAAAGTTGATGATGGGAAATCTATTACTCTAGGTTCTGTTGCTAAACCTGTGATGCCATCAGTCGAAGGATGCCAGGGAACCGTGGGCAGTCGAGTGGTAGTAGTAGGAGGATCTAATGAAAAGAGCAAAGAAGTAGACAAGACACAGAAAAGGCACAGAATGTCAATGCAAGCTAAATCA